CAAAAGTAATTGTAAAAGACTTTGGCACTTTTAATGGTAAAAATATACATTTCTTGCCGAGATGCTTTTAATTTGATTAAATGTAAAGTAAACGTCTCTCACGTCATGAGTACGAAAGCGAAAGTGTATGCACATGATTTAAGCATGAATAAAATTTTAAATCTGATTGTCGATCTGGGACTTTTATTAAAAAGAGATTATATTGAAAGTTTAAGCAAAGCCTTTCATTTTAAAGAGGTTTTCAATTCAACTTTAACTCTCTCTCTCTCTCAACTTTATTCTATTCGAATATACACACACATATATTCACACTCACATTCATTTAAAAAACAAACTCCTAGCAGATGGAACACTTTCCACAAAGGTAAGAATAACTTCTCCATATCCTGCGAAAAGAGATATGAAGGCAAATTTTGCGCACATATTTACTATAAATCTTTGTATAAACGTAATTCATTGTATGAAGAAAGTTGTTTAATAAAAATTATTATTAACTATACGTAAAAAACGATTGGGTAGCAAAACCAACCCCGTTTTAATGAATTTATAAAGTAATAGACGCCTGCAACGAACGAATAATTCTTTACTGAAATCTATTTTTATTACTACACTAACCTTAAGGAGAAATACTTTCTTAGACAAAATACCCAAACATTGAAAAAATACTTTGAAAATCTTTTAATCTAAATGGGATTTAAAAAGATGTGCAATTTTTTTTTATTAGACTTAATCTCAGGTATTTAGATACTCAAACTGATAACATCTGGTTGCTGTTCATTATACTTTACAATGGCAAAACTTTTTGGAAAAGGATCATCAGGATGCTGCCGTTAGCGGAATTGCACATAAACATATACAATTTAAAAGTATGAACAAATTTCTATTAAATATTTTTGCTGTCAGCTGAAATTCTTATCATGATGGAAATATTTCAGTATCTTTCGCGTTTTTGAGTAAAGCATAACGCGAAAGGTATGCTCTTACTTCGACAACGCAATGCAATATAATTATGATGGATGACAACGAAGTGTGTAAAATTGAATGAAAAATCGATTGTTGAAAAGTCGATTGTTCCCAAAGCGCCCCAAGATTTTAGAGACCATCTAGCGATGGCTTCATTAAGCAACAAATTGAGTCGAATTGGGATTATGATGCTGCTGCACAATGCTCAATCCGGTTTCGTTCTCACCGAACTTATCAAGGAGAATCTTGACAAAGGGGATATTTCTACTCTTCTTGTTTATCTTGACAGAGTCGCACATACAAAACTTATAAATAAAGTGTGTAATAAAATTAATTTCTCTGGTTGCGCTAATGTTGTTACAACTACGAACAATTTGCTTTAGTAGATCATCTCAGTTCTTCTCTTGCTGACATCGGTGTCTAGCGGACAGCCACTGTTCATTTGGGTCTATTTGGGTGAACGATTTTTCCGAGGTATTAGGTAAGAGATTGTAGATTGTCTATGCACACCTCATATCCATGCTTGTTAGCTGCAATTGAAATAATATTTACACGTTCGAAACTGAGATTAACGATTCCTTACCATGTATCATTTCTTGAATGGTGGAAAATATGCTTTGTTCGACACAAGTAAGTATAAAGCTATACTTTTTAAATCTTCTCGCGCAGGTTCCTTCAATTTGTGTATTAGATTAAGTGCGCATGCTATTGAGTTGATGGATTCTATGTCATGTCTGGGGGTAATTCTAGACCGCCAACGCCGGACTTGGACAGTATTGCTGCTAAGAAAGGTCTCACGCTACGGAAATTGTGTAATCTAAACTTTCGCTTGCCGGTTCAAGTTAAATATACAATTGCGGACCTTCTTCTTATATCGCTTGTTAATCTATGTATCTATGTATTGAAGTTATCTCCAGCTATCCGCCTTTCAATCCGGATAGATTTAAACTGATTGTCAACCGCATTATACCTAAATGTAAGACTAAATGTAAGACTCAGAAACCACATTTCTTCTTCTGTTCAGTCTTTTTTTAAATTCGCTTTCTATGACTACTTAAAATTTAGGCTGTTAATCTATCTCTATCTTATTTTTAAGTAACAAGGGCCCGTTTCTAGATCGAGTAGGAATCCTTTTATGTCAATTTCACATATATTGAACTATTTGGCTGAACGTTGATTTTTTGTCCGATCGGCTCGATAGTGCAATGCCTTGCCGTTGACTTTGATATCCTTTACTTTTACTCTTTAAATGCTTTTAAGAAAAAATTGGCCCCATTCTTAAACACATAAATTCGTCCGATACGGCCAATTGGTAATGATGATTATAAAGGTTAGCGAGAGAGGAAGATAATTATTTGATTATTCTTTACTTCTTTCTAGGCATATTATTTACACTAACGTAAAGCCAATAGCCTTAGATGCTAATGCTTAAGACTTTAATGTTGGAATTTATTTCTCGGTCTATATTAATAATAATAACGGTAATACACTAACAACGTATACAATAATTCTTGATTTTAGGGTAAGATTCCAGAGTGTCGTGGAATGCTTAACTTTTCCAAAAGCAAAAACCTTAGGTTTATTTAATTTTAGTGACCTTCGGAATTGAAATTTTTGCCGCTTTCGTCTACGTAAGAAGGTAGCAATGATTTTGTATTTCTTAATAATACATCCCTCCCGAGCAACTATTCAATCTATCCAATGTAAGTTTATGAAAATAGTTGAAAGCATTATTCCTTTAAAGCAACTTGAGTATGCTCCTTGTTGTTGTGCATTACCAAAATAAGAAAAAAAAAAATAAAAAAAAAAAAAAGCTTATATCTTTAAGTAAAAAAAGTTGTAAAGTTGTTATGCTTCTAAGAAAAAAAAAAAAAAAAATTAGGAAAATAAATTCTTTTCACATATACCATCGTTACAGTAAAAGGGAATTGTCGATAGATGAGCTTAACGGCGCCTACCGCTGGTAATATTACCCCAAGAAATCATATTGCAGCGCCTTTTGAAAGATGACACTCCATAGAAGATTAAAAACAAAAAAGTAGCTCCAACCAGTTCAGATATCTAATTCTGCTCCCAATTCCAGTACACCGTCCGAGTGCCAACGTTAGAAATGTTCTGTTCTCCACTACTTGCAGTTTTTCGCCCAGAAATCTAAGAAGTATCGTAATAGCTTAAGGCGCTGCAGTAACTTATAGTATTACGAAAATCAACTTCCGAATAACTCTTCAATACAGAACAACGAAGCGTAACTGCCGATCAAAAACAGCCATCAACGGTCCGATATGTATGCGACTATAATTAATCCCACCACTTCTTAATAAAGGCCATAAGAGTATCGGTCGAAATTTTATAAGAACTCCATCTACTCTTTCTAAAGCCGCGGACGATTTTATCTGATTTTATACAACCTAACAAGGACAGCCAGTTATACTTTTGCGGGACAATGTGTTCGAATAATTTATACGAAGCAATGGGTTTTTTTATTACATGCGCATATGGATAAAAAAATGGGTGCGAACTGTATTTTTCAGTTCTATGAAATTCACAGAAATTATTAAAGACCATACAACGTAGATTGTGAGAGTAAATCGGATTTCTTGGGAAGTAAATGCAATATAAATTAATTTTTATTATGACATTAGATCGGTCGAGCACAACTTTCTAACGAAGAACTGGTTCATCAGCTCTGAACCCAGGGAAAACATACAAATTTATTGCCGCATCACTAAGTCGATCACAAAAGTTCGTATTGAGGAACGCGGAGTACTTAAAAAATCTGCTCCTGCTTCCGATAATGCTAATTTAGCAAAGCAGTAATCCTTTCAAGTCGTGTAGAGCAATTTCCAATGAAATTGGGATCATCCCGAACTATTTGTCGAATCTACTACGAAGATTAGCTCGGAAAGACCCTTTGTTCAGAAAAGTTAATTTGGAGAAGGGGAAGGACTTTGTTTTAATCCATATTATAATTGATGCGGACGTGGAAGGAGAAAAAGTGACGAAATATATTTTGGAATGGTAAAACAAAAATAAGTACCTCGATCAAAGGGGAAAGAATTCCACATTAGATTTATAAAAGGAACAGTCAAGCATGGCAGAGGAAAACTTATGGTTTACGACTGCTTTTCGTGGAAGAGTATCGGTCCGATATATCTCAGAGGAAACGCTATGTAAGTCAGTGGTATTCAAATTTCAGCATGATAATGATCCGAGACATTCGCCCAATTTGATGAAAGCCCTGTTCCGGGAACACACCTTGCATATAACTAAACGACCAAGTCAGTCTCCCGATCTCAATATTATTGAGAACCCTTGGCGAGAGCCAAGACGTCAAATTTCGAAGCTTTGCTTTAGAAACGAATAGGTTTTGTGGAAAAATGTTTAGAGAGTACAAACTTGCCATAGATTAATTTCATCCATTGCCTAGAAGAATCGAAGCACTCCTTAAGAACAATGGTGGTGATGCGAGCTATTGATTACCTAAATCAATTTCTATAAAAATCATTATGACTCTTAAGTAAAAAGTTAACAAACGCAATAGCGTTAGAGACATGTGACATCTTTAAAGTGAACTTCTTTCAAGTTCTTGCTTATACAACCATTCTCAAGTACGGAAATGCTCCTACTTTATAAATAAAAGACGAATAATGTAAAATGGAGTAAAAGGAAAACGGAAAAGTATACCTTCCATCAACATAAAACAACGTGCAATTACTTTTCCGTCCACATATCCGCTTACATCATTGCACTTTTGTGCAAAGTCCTAGAAAAGAAAAAAAACCTAAAGGAAAATTTCTACTCAGTGAAAACTCATATGAGTGAGAGTGATTTGTCTTGATACGAAAAACGATGCGAAAAAACTGTGAAAATTTATTGTTGTTCTAATTACTTGTAAATTTTTGGGAATTGTCGGAACTACACCTGCGTGTGTGTGTGTGCGTGTATGTGTATATAAAAGAAGTTTTTCATTTTCTTCAAGTCTGTTAAAAAGTTTAATTGCTTGCAAACAAATAGTTAAGTGAGGAAGAATACGTTACCTTTCTAAATACAATTAACCCACAGTTGTAATGCAAGCAATTGCGATCGCAATATGCAGTATCATCGTCTTGTTTGATGTTAATGTGTTGTCGTTATCGTTGTTCTTGTTATTATTTTTTTTTTTATTTTTCTTATTATTATTTTTAATGCTTTGTTTTTTTTTTTTTTTTTTGTTATTGCTGCTATTATTCCGCTTGTTCTTATTTATTTACACTTTTATTTATTTATTTATTTATTTTTTTTTGTTATTTATGACGGAACATACAAACATGCTTTGGGTTACCGAGTTTAACCGCGTGCACGGAGTTTAAATCACTTTTAATTAATATAATAATAAAGAGAAGAAGAAGAAGTAAAGAGGAACGAGAGGAACAAAAATATAGTCTTACATATATATATATATATGCAATATATATATGCGATAAATATATGATAAACCGTTTAAGATGTCTACGCGAAACCGAGAACGAACCAAAAAAGACTGAAATGAATTAATGGGAAAACTGGAAGAATATTTATTTATAAACGAAAGGCTAAAAACATGCCTTACACAGCAATATTAACAATAATAAATATATTGTGATGGCATGTTGCAATATAATTTGTGGTTGTCATAGCAGTTAAGTAAAGTACGTAAATGAAAAGAAGCAGAGAAGCAGCAATAGCTTTCTGGTAACAATATCGTAAGAAAAATATTGAAAGAGTGTTATTTCTTTTGAAAGGATTAGTACTACGGATCGTCGTCGTCGTCGTCGTCGTCGTCGTCACTGATAGTAGTCCTGATAATGATGTTCTTTCAAGGTAAACTTTAAAAGCGATTTTCTTTTCTCTATTTATATATTTTTATATTTATATTTAAAATTATTTTCATTAATAACGTATTTGCTCAGCAGATGCATAAGCTTAAAGTTTACTTTAGCTTCTTTTGAAATTCTTCTTACATGTTTACGTTTTGAGTTAATCCTTAAGCTAATTACTTTGAAAGAATTACATAAAGTTTGGCGTTGTCTGCGCGTCTGTCAATTAAAGCGTCGAAACGTGTAAACTCTTCCCTATTTCAATATGCGTGCAATAATATGCATGAACTTGATTGCAGTGCAATAATAATAATGTTCCCGCTAAAGTTTTTCGTTTTCAGTTCTCTGCTCAGTTGTGTGTGTACACGTTACATTTTAATCCTTTTATGGCTCTACGAATCTTTAAATAAAAAACGCCGAATGTGTTGTGCTTTTTTTGTTTTTTCACTTAAACAAATTTCAGCTTAACTTAAGGGTGGTCCGGCTTTTTTTTTTTTTTTTTTGAAAATGAGAAAAAAATGAAAAAAAAAAGAAAAAGCGCACGTGTGCTTTCAAGTCTGCCCTTGGTTAAGGGCGGCAAATCCTATTTGTCTGTCTGTCTGTCTGTCTGTCTGTTAGATTGCAATTGTCCTTAATATCCTTTATTTGTTGATGATATGTAAATTTTCACTAACGCATACAAAAAACAAAAAAAAAAACCGAGAAAAGTTCGTTTGATTTTTTAAAACATACACACTCTTATTAATCTATGAATGCAAACTTTATCGAATTTCTCAGTTACGTATATAAAGCGGCAGATACTTAGATTACAAACACTCGCTAATGTTCACTGACAACAACGCTACGCAAGATAAATAGTATGCACGATTGTCTGGTTGTATGGACGCAATGAGCCGCAAAAACTTACCAAAAACTATTCGCAAATTTATTTATTTTCCCGAGATAAAATTAACTTAATTCGCAACCGTTTTCATGTTACAAAGAACTTTTATTAATCACATTTTTTCCAAATATATTTTCATTATTTTTTTCTTTAAATATTTCATATTTCCGTAATGTGTTTTGCTAATGCAATTGAATTCAATTCAATTCAATTCAATTCAATTCAATTTCTTGCCGAATTTCACGGTTGTAAGCATTTCTTTTTTTTCGTTCATTCCCGATTCATTCCGTTTTGTCCGCTCAAACACCACTCATTTGCTCTGTTTACAAACAACTGGAAAATACTGAAAATACTTGTTTCACATGTGCCCAAGTCTTCTTCTTCTTCTTCTTGTTACTGATGTTGTTGCTGTGCCTTTTTTTCTTCTTTTTTTTTTTTTTTTTAAATAATTTTGCTTGCTTATACGTCGTGTACGTTGTGGTAGTGATGGTTTTCGTGATGGTGAATTTCTACACGCACAATACTATGTGTTTGAATCAGAGATAACTAAATAAGAAGATGTGCTAACATTTTATTCAAAAATTACATCTAGAACTGTTTCAAAGACTTGTGCTGATTCCGTTGTTTAGTATTGAGCAAAGTGAAAGACTAAAGTAACGGAACGAGACTAGAGTATAACGAAAAAAGTGAAATTAGTTGCGGTTTGGTATTGCGAGGGTTTTGTTTTTATTTTTTAGATGCGTTCTTCAAAAAAACTTGCAAAAAAGATCATGCACAAAAATACATACAACATATGGGAAATTTGGTGATATGTTGCACAACTTTAAGAATTTGTGTTAGGTGAACTTTAATTATTTTCTCAAAAAACCATGTAAAAATTTAATAATGAATTGGATTTCATTAGAAAAAAATATTAAAATTAGTGTACAGTGAAACTTCGTTGCAACATATAAAAGAATTTACCTTGAGATTAGGATAAAAATCTATTATGGAATCGTGTAAAAAGGACCGTGTAAAAAAGAAGTTGGGTGTCTCATTGGACAAAAAGCAACAGTAATGGTGCTGTTAATAGACAGCCCTTTGACTGCTCGCTCTATCATTTTCCTTATAATATTTTATAAAGATATTTGAAGAAATTTTGTACTTTTTATACTACTTATTACTTATATATTTAGTCCAATTCTCCCTATACATTTTCTTCAAATTTCGGTATCCCACATGAATTTTTCACGGACCTATACTTATTGATTTTACAAGACTAAGGTTCCCTAAAATATATTTCAATATGTCTAACAATATTTTCACTAAAATTTGTTGAAGAACACCAACGTTTCGCTTTTGCATTTACATATTTTTGTCAAATAGTTGAATAATAAATATTTCGTATGTGATTACCGCCCTTATTCGCTACTCATGTACCGTTTGGGTTTTTTCGCATATATGCACTTATAGGTACACCACAGCGCGTATTCATTTAAAAAAACACAGAAATCTATATGCCTTTGTTTTGTAAAAGGGTTAATAGAGTTTTTGGCTATCCAAAATTTGAGAATGAAAAATCAAGCACTCAAATGGGTACTAATTAATAGCGTCATTATTGTTATTACGTAACAGAAATAGGAAAAGTTACTGAGCTAATTCAAACTCTAATTTTGGACAAAATGTTGGGATATCTTATGATTAAGTTGCTTCTGGTTTGAATGCATATTATGATGGTCTCGTGCATCTCTGGTCGTTTAAAATTGTCTTTGTAGTCGTATTCATTTCTATTAGACGTGGTGAGTTCTGACTAAGTTGTGTTTGTTGTTCGTTTCATACTGTCTGTGCATACCTGAAGCCTTTTTATCAAAACGTTTAAGTTTTTCATTTTTATTATTAATATTATCATACTCAGCGTCAATAGACGACGACATAGTAAATTGGTCGAGCAGGACTTAAATTACGTCTATTTATTTATATATGTATAAATGTGCGTTTGCAATTACTGCTAAGCGCAGACTAAGAGTCAATATGCCCGTACGTAGTTATAACTTGCATAGTTATAACTGCAACAATGTGTTCGAGGATAGAACTCGATGAAGATGATGAATATGCGTTGGGCCAGCTGAGAAAATTTTAGGTCTACACAAGGAAAGTAGAAATGCTGCTAGAAAGCCGACTCAAAACTGACTAATCTATTAAGTTATTCGGAAAGTCGTTTTTTCCAACAAGCAAGTATATTGCTTCGCAGCAAAAATCACTCTGGGGCCGCATTGCCATTATAAATCTTGACAGATAGACAAACCTTGCTTTTGAAAAAGTTTCTTTCCTCTACACTGCAGTTTCGATTTAGTAACTTATCAAACATGGAAAGTCGAAAATATTTTTAAAGTTAAAAAAAAAAAAAAATTTATTAGACGTATATGAACAAGGTATAATAAGCGTATACAATTCTCAATAATTCGAAATATGTGAGAATAAGCGTATAAAAGTTGTAGACACACCAGTAAAAGAGCTTACATGGAAAATTATTGGAATATGGGAATGGACACGATAGCAATGAAATCTAACTAGAATTTTTGAACGTTTCTTTAGGCTGCTGGGCTATTCTGCAGGAAGAGCGGAAGTGCTGCTACGTTCCGAAAACTTGGGAAGAATTGGGTAAAGGTATATTGACAGAGCACTAGCGCTAAAATTTGTTTTGAAAATTCCATTCTAGAATTTTGATATTGACTATTCACCACATTCTGAGTTTGATTAGATCAAAATAAAAGCATTAATTATTGGAAACAAGCGACTAGAAAATCTTAAGACCGTTTAGACGTTTGTGGATTTTGACCCATTTATGCACTAACCAGAAAATTATCTTCCCTTTTGACAAAAAAAAAAAAAAAAATACTTTCTGAACAACGATTTAAAGAAGTTACTTACTGTCCTTTCTTTATGTTCGCTTCATTTTAATTACTATTCATTATTCATGTACTTAGTCATAGTACAATTTTTTCGGACTAGAAAAACCTATTACTTTACATTCTCTACCATTCTTTTGCCTACAGTTTAGTTCTAAGATATTTTGTGTTGACTGGTAATTTTTATATGTACTTGGATGAATAAATAAACCCTAAAGTTAGCTAAAGTTTAGGCTAATCAGGAAGTTGGAAAGCTGCAACACTCGAAGAGGTGGAGTGCTCAGAAAGGAACCAGGCTGGCTAGAAAGGTTTCATACTGATTACAAGCGCTTTGATTTCCTCAGAAAATAGTTAGAGGAAAACAAGACTTGAAAAGACTTGCCGCCAATAGGGAAGATTGGAACTAATAAACCTGGCCAACTTTTAATTAGACCGGCTAGAAGAGAAAGGAAGTGGTTGATAAGACAAAGTTGAAATTTATTTAAAAAATGTAAGAGCACTTCCAAATGAAAGTGAACAACCAGATCGCAATAAATTAGTTAAGGAGATATCTTGGCTCAATAGGTAAAGATCAACATTATTAAAGCTAACAATAGTAATGAGTATAAAAATTTTAAGTATCTAGAATTGTGGGATGGAAAATCTGAGCTACTAATATGTAGTTCTAATAGAGATTTGTCGCTAACTCCAAAAACCGATAACGATTAAAGATCCTCTTATATAATTTGAAAAGAGAAGCATAGCAGATCATTCACGAAAGCTTCTTGGAACATGTTTAACTTAAAACTTATCACAAAAATGCCATAAACAAATGCATAAAAATTCCATTAATGGAATATAAAAAAAAAAAGGGAAAGAAAATGTTTGCCAATTTACTCTGATATCAAGAATATTAATTAGATTTGTTTTGTATAATGATTTTATAAACATATTCGGAAGATTAATTCTATAAATACCATGTAATATATTGCATATATTACATCAAGTACAATAACAAATTTATTCAAGTGTTTTTTTTTTTTTTTTTTTTTTTGCATAAACAAAACTTGATTAATTTCTAGTTATAATTTTTCTCTATTTATCATCCCATAAGAGATGCAACAAAATATTGTTTTCATATATGTGTGTAAATTTGTATATAGTGTTGCTATAAAATTTAAATAAAATTTTTCAACAAAAAAGAAACCGCAATCTATCACAGCGCACATTGTGCGTTGTTTACATATATTTATATGCGTTTTCTTTACAAATAAAAACAAGCACGGAAACAATATAAAAAGCAAAAATATGCATAATGTTGCCGTAAAAATATTGCTAAACATTTATTTGATTGATAGCAACATGAGACTAAAAACAAATTCACCACTTTAAAGTAATGCATGCAACTTATACCAAACCATCGAACACAAAACATCGAAACATTTTGTATTTAATAGTAAAAGTAAAAAATGCAAAAAAAAAAAAAACAGAAAAAAAGAAAAAAAAGCAGAGAAAACCCCCAACACAAACGCATAATATACGCTTGTTATTATATGTGTATGTTTGAGCCATTGATTTACTCTGAAAACATGCTAAATCGCTTATTTTATGTTCAACTCATTTATGTTGAATGCCCAGAAGCATCAGTAGAAGAAGCATTTATTTACGAGCGGGTTACGAAAGGGTTGACCGTTAAACCACAGTCATATTCAAAATCTGCATATAAGTGTGATTTGTGTGTTATGCATTGGATATATAGAGGAGATTTTATGCATGCATGTATGGTCAAAGGGAAAAATTATCGAAAATGTGTTTTGGGCAACGAGAGCAGCGACTCTGCAGCCAACAGGTAATCATGCATTTCCCTTGACTGCTTAGAGGCACAACTGGTGATTCACGCATCACGATTATTGTCCATCAAGGAGAAAGAAGGAAAAAACATAAACTACATAAACTACTCTCTAAAGAGAATTTAGTCGCATGACAACTTGTGGCATAGATTGAATGTTGTGGTTTTTTCTACAAAATGCTTACAACCAATCCACCAACCTAAACCTAACCTAACCAAACAAGCAACCAACACACATTTGTCCGTTTCAGTGCCTAACAGTAAGCATATATATATATATATATATATATATATATATGTATATGTATATGTATGTATATATGGATTTCGGCGAGTGCTTGTATGTATGAATATATATGTATTTATGTATTTGAACCACAAACCAGACCTGGTAAAATGATTTCAAACCAGTTCTTTGTTTAGTGATACAAATGTACAAAAAGAAGTAGAAAAAATAAAACTCAATACGACAACAACAACAACAATAAAACTGGAGACAGACAAAGTGATGCATTAGTGTATATGCAAGCACTTGAAAATAAATGCATGTGTTAGGCTAAGTAAAACTATAGATATATTTATATAAATATGTGTGTGTGTGTATGTATGTGTG